GCGAAGGACATTTTCGACCACTTGTTCTGAATTCCTTCGGAAGAATGAGTTTTTTGAAGGTCTATAAACAAATTAATCAATTATACTTTAAGATATTAGAAAATCAATTGCAACTTACATATACCCAAGAAATGCCATAATCTAAGAATGGACCAGATTCAAAATCCAATTCCTCTATTTCTTCCGTAACTTTATCATCTCCAAGAAAATATCCGATTGCGTCGTAAAAGAATGACAACATACTTTCTTACACCACATAACAATTCTACAAATTTTAATGCATTGAAAATTTTGACAAGACAGTTTTACTTCGACATGATTTACTTCACGTTGACATAAATCAGTTACACTATATACAGTGTGGCCCAAGGACACACTGTAACTGCGTTATTACTATTCTTTTTATATTAATCATTTTTATATTTAAAGTGTTCGAGGGCAGACGAATAAAGAAAGTAGGAAAAACATGTTTTGTTAAAAGCTACCTTAGTATAACTTTGCTTCCTTGAAATGGTACAGACCTTAAAATATTCTTTTTATATTTATAAGATAATTTTAATATGAACTTATTTTTTACTTAAACAAGTCGTTACGAACACCTTAAACAGTATTTTCATTTTGCCATATTATTTTTTTATACAAATTTTCAGAAAATGCAGTTATTCTTTGAAACATCACTTTATTTACTTTGACTATTTTTCTACACAAAACGCTTCACATGGAACTTACCATAAAATATATAGTATTTAGTACAGTAATAATAAGTACAAGCAAAAGTTATCAAAATAATAATTTCTAACATAAAGAAAGCGATTGTAGAAAATAATTAACAGTTGTCCTAAGTGTTCGCGGTTAATCGTCTGCGTTGATCGTCGGTAAATACCCATTTAAACGAAAATGACCGATTAATATTTACCGATATCACAGGTGCATAGGTATAGTCGAAGATTTTAATAGGTGCTATTTTTACTAGGCGAAGAACTACTTTACATTTTAGTAATTCCACTATTCGCGTCATTGTACATGTACATGTCTGCCTCTGATTTGAAGCTTCGCATCGATCAATGTATTCGATACATATCTAGCGGCACCCTAATGTCTGCCCTGTCGGCCTGGCGTGCCGGTGAACAATCCAGGTTTTTTGCTGAGGGACGTTGGTCGTGCAATTCATTGTCTTTGTGTATGTGTGAATTTGACGCTTTGTTTGGTCGAGTGTATGGCACATGTTTTTTGGCATATAGATTACTACTGTTTATTTATTTGATAGTCTCTACAAAGTTTCCAATATTTACTCATTTACCTACTTAATTATTATTGTTTTAAATAATGGGTTTTTGAATAATTTGAGGTTTTTGTAACGTAAATACATATATTTGTATGTACATTTATTACATTTTTTTTATAATCTCTCCATCTTTTTGTTTTAAACAAGATATAAGCCCTATCCATATTAAGCTCAGCTACCCCAACAACTTTGCCATAACAAATTTCATTGAACTATATTTAAAAATGACGGAATTATTATTTTTAAAAAAAATTGAAAAAAATTTTCTTTGAGGTACCTAATTTTTTATAGAAACGAAATTTTACTAGGGTAACTAGATTCTATATCGGTTCATTTTTAACCAAGAAAGTTACTGAGTATGGATCATTTGCTTCCGGGGAACCTGTATATATTAGTATATTATACCCGATGTAGAAAATAATGTATGCCTTCTCGAGGAAAACAAAAAATATAGTTCGACATCAAAACCGCTTAAATGTAAACAAATAATTGGCGGAACTTCCTCTTTAACTTGTAATGTGCCATGAAATCAAAAAACGGAACACTGTACGACTACCACAAAATAAAAATAATAATAACAATTTTGTAAATTTGAAGAAAAAGTATCTATTGATTAATAACACATCCAAACAAAAAAAAAGTTATGTACCGGAAACACGAGTACATAGATTTTGTGTTTTTTTTATGCTGAATCCGAATCCGAAGTAAAAAAAACTAAAATAGGGTGAACTAATGAGGATAAGGTAAAGCTTTATAATGAAAAGCAATAATTTGTAGATACATACTTTGAGAAAAAATTTTAAAATAAAATTTTATGCATTAGAAAGAAATATTTCCACCCCTAAGATCGAATAAGGAATGTTAGTGAGAAACAGACAATGTGAAAAACCATAACCTTGTATTTTATACTAATAAATATACAGGGTGGGCCATTAGTGTGAGAAAGTAAAATAATTCCCTTGTTACTCATAATACAGAAAAAAAGTTTATATAAAAGTTATACAGAATCAAGAAACAAACTACAAAATTAATTTTATACAAAAATAGGTATTTCCAGAAATGTTGCTATATCTTAAAAACTAACAACTTTAGGTGTAGAACAAACTTAATAAAAGTTAAAGTGGACAGATATGTGAATAAAATAGAACAATAAAATACAGGGAGTTCCATTTGAAATATTTTAGAAAATCAAGTTTGAACTTTCTTAAAATGATCGTATTATAAAAAATGCCCTGTATAAAATATCGATATTACCTAATATAGGAGTCTTTGCCTAACATTTGCCTATAACTCTGTCAAATATTTTTGCTCCAAGTGTTAGTACTTGAAAGTTAATACAACTTCTTCGAAGTAATGGTTTTTTCCAAAATTCGAAGAATTTTCTACATAACTTGGCAACCCCGCACTAAAATGTTAAACTGTTTATATTGCCACATATAGAATTTTCTCAGAAATCCATGTTTAAAAATATACAGGGTGTTCCATTTAAAACATGTAATATTTGGCGTGTCCTGTTTTTACTCATCGCCCTGTGTTTAAAATTAATTTTGTCCTTTAGGTTTTTTGATTCTGTATTACTTTTATATATACTTTTTTCTGTATTATAAATAACAAGGGAGTTATTTTACTTTCTCAAACTAATGGCCCACCCTGTATAAATGTAAGTTGATAGACAACATACCAAAAAAATATAATAAAACCTCCCTCAAAGGGCTGGAAACCACCTACAGACTAAGGTCCCATTTACCCCATTAGTCACATATTTTTCTAATCAATATTTTTGCCAGAATTTTGTTACCGCGTGTTGAGGTCGCTGATTACGAATCTGAATACTGAATCTGAAAATTCCCGAATAAAAGATGGCGGAACCGATGTGGCGAATGTAAAAATCGGAAAGCCATTCAAAATTTAAAATTATAATCTTCAATGAAGAGCAATATTTAGCGAAACTGCGATTTGAGAAATAAAATTGTTTGTTAGTGAAAAAATTGCATTTGTAATTAAAAATGCTTGGTTTATTAAATATTACTACAGAAAAATAATTGAATTTCACTCTTAAATGCAACGAGACTTGACACCCGGAGGTTTTTCGGGTCGCTGATTCCTAATCTGGCGTCGTCGAGTACCACCCGCCTCCCAGACACCTGGTGCACCGGAACCTGGACATGGATGTCATCTACGGGAGTTTTCCTGTAAAATTCACGTAAACGAGCCGAAAATCGCATCAGGGGTTTTCGGGTCGCTCTTCTCGAAATCATCTTATAATATGACGCATGCACGACTGTGGACCCCCAGGCCGGGGCCCTCGAAAAACTATCCGGGCTCTATACGTCAGTTGATGATGAAAATTATATTTAATAGAATATTTTCAAATTAAAGTTAATAATTGATTAAATTAGGATAAAATGGAGTTAGATTATATTTGAGTTAAATTAAATTGAAGTTAAGTGTAGGCTAGAAATGGCAATTGATTTGGAAATAAATGATTTTGATTTGATTTTGAAACAACACTTGCATACATTGTGACATTCATTCAATTTATTCTCTCTATTTTCATCTTGTACACTTTAAATGAGATCAACAATTCCAAACAAGTTATTGCAGTATTAACGGCAGTCTGAAATATATTGAAAATTCACTGTTTATTGATTTTTCTGGCGATGACGCCGATTTCAAGGTCCAGGTTCCGGTGCATCAGGTGTCCGGGGGGTGGTCGCCGATGCCAGAATCGAGAAGAGCGCCCCGAAAGAACCCCTAATGCAATTTTCGGCTCGTTTACGCGAATTTTACAGGAAAAGTCCCGGTGATGACGTCCATGTCCAGGTTACGGTGCACCAGGTGTCCGGGGGGTTCTCGCTGACGCCAGATTAGGAATCAGCGACCCGAAAAACCCCCGGGTGTCAAGTCTCGTTGCATTTAAGTGTGAAATTCAGGAGAAGCCTCGAAGATGACGTTCATCATCAATCCTAAGCTCTAGGTCGGCGATGGACCAATTTGAAGGTCATATTTGGGATCAGCGACCTCGAAAACTCCCAGAACCCTGATTTGAGTAAATTCCAGGCATTATTAACAGAGTTATGAATTTTTTCTAAGTGACTTTAAAAAATGCATTTTTCCGGATGCATTTTGCACTGTACAAATGCCGAAAAACATAACAAAGTTGATACATTTTTTCCACATAATTTTAGAAACCGAATGCAAAAAACCCCATCTTGATACGACTTGATCGAAAAATTTCGAAGGTTCAGTGCTTTATTTCCTCGACTAACTGCAAAATGTATGTATAATATATATTTTGTTTTTGGAAAGCTCTTCTGACAGTCAATTCAGTTGTCTTTATGGTATACCTATTTGTCAATAACGTTTTAAAAATCCATAACCTTCATTCGTACACTTTTGTTTGTATCTCGAACAATAGCGGAGGAAGATTTTCGTAACACCACCCTATGCATATATCGCACATTTCAATTATAGTTAACATTTCGGAACATTAATCTTTTCTTGTTCTCAAAACTTATAACGACGTTCCTCTCCCAAACATTAACTGAAAAAAAATCATTATACGTATTGATTTGGAAAAATATTAATTTTTCGAAATGTTAATTATAATTATTGATATGTGTATTTTTGTACCTACTAAATACTTATTTTGGTTAACACAGCTAAGTGTACTCCGACTGTCAAAAAGTAAATTTTTTACAGTAATAACACTTCATTACAAAAAATACTTTATTAATATGTACAAATGTAGTATAGCTTAGAACGTATCCTAGTCTAGACTTAACTAATTCTGGAATTAAGGGGGTTGACGATCTTGCCTGCCATGAGGGTGACGTGGATGTCTGAGTCGATGACGAAGTACAGAAAAGGATGGTCAGCCTTGAAGTGCACCGGGTCATACCGGTGTAAGTTTCCTGTGAAAGAGGGTAACATTTAATTGTTTCCTTGACTGAATGACTGAAACGTTGGCATTTATTTTTAGATTATTTGCCAGAGATGCTTGCTTAAACTTAATGAGACGTTTTGTAATTCGACAGTCTTGCTTAGTGTTTAACCTGAACAATATCTGCAATTATCAGACAATTATTCACCGGAAGAAGCGAGGCATTTCTTTCATTTTAATTGTTTCGCAACGCGTTTGAGGGCGTTCTGTTTTTTTTAAGGTTAATTGCGTCAACATTAGTAATTAAACGGTTAACCTATTTTTATTACGTACAAATGTTTTGATTTACGGGGAGAGAATATTTTGTCACCTTAAATTACAAAATTGCTTTGTTTGTTCTCGTATAAGAGAACATATGCTGTGTTCGATTTCAGGTCTCATCTCATTCGTAACTTTTTTATTTAATGACTGATTCCGGCGACCTCTTCATTTTATAATTCAAAGCTATGGCTAACCGACATTTTTTAAGGTAAAAATTACTTATTACTTCAAAACACAAATGTAGGAATTTTTTACTTTTCAGTTGAGGTTAAAAAACACTATACTGGTACTGTAGAGAATAAATACTTCAAAAAATTTTGTATAAAAATCCATTGGCATTTTTACCCTCAAAAAAGTATTTAATAATAACGTTCTTTTAGCACTTTAGTCATAAATTTGAATAATAATATCTGATAAAATAAGGTTGTTGAAATCAGTTAATAAATAAATAATGTTATGGAAAAAGATGCTTCTAAATGAAGTTAACCGACTAAATTTTTAAAACAAAAACCTACAGAATGAAACTTTTTTCAATTATTTATAAAGTGTATTTTTCTGATAATTTACATATTTTTTTTTATATTTTTCGGCGTGGTCAGTCAAAATTACTCGCCGAATGGCTTTGAAAATTTTTATTGTAAAATGGACCATTTACAATTTAATGTGAAAAAAGTGACGAAATCGACAAACTTTCGGAATTTTTTCTCGAAAATTACTGAACAGTTTAATTCTAAAAAAAGCATAATAATCGGCAAATCTTCTACTCAATATATATTTTTTTGGTATAGGTCAATTATTTTATTCAAGGTCTAAAGCGAGTAAAAATTGGTCTACAAATGAAATTGTAACTCTAGATCCATTGACACGTGGATGGAAAATCGAAAATGGTTGTTTGCATTTTAATTATTTCGAAAGAGAAACTGCGTTAAATATGCTTCAAAATATTTATGTTCATGTAGTGGAAAATGTTCTACGAAAAATTGTAACTGTTTGTCATCGAACTTGGAATGCTGTGCAGTCTGTGACTGCTCAGATGAATGTCAGAATGTTCCATCCAAAATTGATGATGAAACGCTTATTTCAACTCAAGAACTTGTCGAAAATAACGAAAAACTTATTATTTAAAAATTAAATAAAAAAGAAATTAATATACTTTTATTGCTCTTAATATTTTTGTAAAATAAAAATAAAATAATTATCCTATACAATAAATTATCCAATAACTTTTTTATTTTTCGAGACGGCTAGGTCAATCATTATTATTAGGTTAATTTTACGATTTAAAAAGTTTAATTAGTTTAGTTTTGGTATAACTTTCAAGTCAATTTTAGCCATTTATAAAATCAAAAATATTTAAATTTTACTAATTACTTGCAAATACCTTACTCCGGCTACAAAACCAAACAAAATGATCTTTTGAACATTTGTACTGTTAACATATATCGATTAAAAAATATCATAATAATGTTTATTCTAAATATAATCTAATCCAAGATATTGTAAAAAGAAAATTTAAATTTGAAGTGTTATCATAATTTTCTTTAAAATACTTTTTTTTACTCGCTTTAGACCTTCAATAAAATGATTGACCCATACCAAAAAAATATATCTTAAAGTAGAAAATCTGCCGATTATTATGCTTTTTTTAGAATTAAAATCTGTTTAGTAGTTTTTGAGAAAAAAATTTCGAAAGTTTGTCGATTTCGTCACTTTTTTCACATGAAATTGTAAATATCTCGGAAACAAAGCATTTTCCGAATTTTTGTCAAACAAAAAGTGTTTATTTTGGTCCATTTTACAATAAACATTTTCAACGCCATTCGGTGAGTAATTTTTTTTTACAACTTTTTTGTTTATAACAATTGATTGATCACGCCGAAAAATATAAAAAAATACGTAAATTATCAGAAAAATACACTATAAAATTAAAAAAGTTTCATGCTGTAGGTTTTTGTTTTAAAAATGTAGTCGGTTCATGCCTTTTTTTAGGGATGAACCGCTAGCCTGTTAGTCTTTAAGTCAAATACCACAAGTACCTAAAAAATTTGGTAATCATAAAATATACGTCTTTTTTTGTTTAAAGATATTCTGCAGTAACTGTGTAGGCCATTTTTTGGCCAAAAATAAGTTTGTATGGACATACGTCCGCAAACTTTTTAAGATACAGGGTGATACAGCTTAACTATTTTTTTTTAGCCACTCATTAAATTTGTTTTATATGTTTTATGGTAGATGGAAGACGGACTTGAGTTTTACTTGGTTGTGGTTCCTTGTGTGGTTACTTGTTATTGTGATTCCAAAAAAAGTATCGCTCTGTAGATTATACACGACAATTAGCAGAGTGGTACATATGCACAGCCACTCGATTAGATATTTTTAATTCGGTCACACTAGCAGAGGGCGACCTGCAATTTTATAAATACTAAAGTCCCTAGATTGACCAACTATAGTAACAAATGTCAGTTTGTGTTTGAAGTTTATAAATATTCCACTGCATATTTTTTCTATTTCGCAGCTATTTATATCAAAAGATTATCAATATTTAATCGCCTCTTCTTTTTAAGATTACAATTTTGGATTAATAAAACCACCAAGCATTTTATCACAATTTTAAAGACCTCGCGTGGTGTTCTCAAAATTGTTAAATCCCTTCCTATTTCACACACCGACCTTACACCCACAATTAAATACGGCATACAGGAAAGTTTTTTTTAAATAAACACTTCCACACAACCACTTATACTCGGAATACCATTCATTTCGAAATTTCCCCTTTTTTCCATATCGAGCGTATAAGGCACAGGTCTCTCACAATTTAAAAAATCCTTTTTGTCCTCAATTTTCCATCTGGAAAATGGCGTTTCCAATAAAATACATAGTGGATCATACATAGGAAACATTTCTACAATTATTATTATACAAAACAAATATTAAGTAAAAACCGTGATAATCGTGCACTGGGCGACGCGTATCGTATAAACTGTCAAAGGCAGGCGATGGGCGATGCTGCTTCAATTTCTGCATCACTCGTTCCCCCACGCCGTAGTTTAATCCCGTGTTGGCCGCTTCGTGGCCATAACAACCGCCGTAAATAACGCTACAAAGAGAAGCAGAATACAGACTGATTTCGATCCGCGTCACTTGCTTATACTAGATATACGTTGTACGGTACGAGGTTGATGTTCGCGCTCAACGAAGGCAATGTTTTTTTAGAAGGCGTTCACCGCGCAACTATTCTGTTTATTTCTGCGTATTAAACAAAACAAACAAAATACATTTTCAATATAGAATTATACCTAAATTATAAAATTTATACAAAATTAAAAATAATTTTAAATTGCACAACCAAACGGAAATTTTAGGTGAAGCGGTGCGTCACTTGCGTCACCTGACGAGTCGCCACTGAACTACTTTGAGAAAATAGTACCACAACTGAAGCTTGCATGTTTTCAATTGTTCTTAAATAATTAATTAAACACTGTGTTAGAGGTCTTTTAATATCTCATGAGCCGCGAAATGCGCGAAAGGCGTGGCGTATCCCCATAATTCTTCTAATAAGCACGTTGTGAAAACATTAACTCAGAACTAGACCATGTGCATCATTACAAGTAGACATGAACTAAGGCGCTCAGGCATCAATAAAGTCAACTGGCGAACGTTCGTTATATANGCATGTTTTCAATTGTTCTTAAATAATTAATTAAACACTGTGTTACTGGAAAAAAGTTTATTTTATTTGTTTATTTCAACGAGATTTCTTTAAAATTTGTCCCAACATCACTGTTACACCTGTGTCTCGAAATGAAACTTCCATTCCTTCTAAATTAACTTTAGTCGCTGATGGTAGAATGACAAGAAAATTACTGTATAATTAGTTAAATGTTTGTCATCACTTGTCAATGTCGGATTTTTTTCCGAACCTTCTACAGTTAAATTGGAAAATGACAAGTTGAGTTAAACCAATAATCATAAGCTTGAATGAACACATAATGTATATACATTTCAGAAGAAACACTATCAATGAGAAAAAATATGCATTTTGTTTTAGACTTAATATTAATTTTTTTAAAATGGATCTCGAGTATTGACCTCTTGCGCCGATGATCGTTCGTGTATTAATGACATTTTATGTGTATAAAGAAATATAGCGATCGCATATTTTGCTACAAGCAATTGATTATCGACTTCCAAGAAGCAACTCTTCTTATTTTGAATTTATTCACTGCATTTCTTTTAAACCTGTTTGTCCATTTATGTTTGTTTGGAACTTTCCGCACACTTCTTATGAGGTTGATGAAATTTAATCGCCAGCTGTGATTTAAAAAGGCAAATCTTTAAATAAATATAAAAATGTGATGAAGTGCTTTTTTTATAAAAGCTATTAGAATAACGCTAAAACAATGTACCGTAATGTGGGTAAAATTATTTCTGGTCTTCCCAGTTAAATAACTAAATAATTAAAACACTTTTTTGTAATCTGCTCGTAAAAAATTAACCGTCTAAAGGATATTATCATCAAGCAGAATTGATTGAAGAACTTAATGTTGCAAAATGTACAAGGTCAATAACACTGCTAGACATTCCAAGTGCCAATAGGTGAAACCGTGGTTTCAGAAGATAGTCATCGGCTAGCCTTTCAATGTTATTCACCACAACTGATTAAATATTAATACCTTTACGATGCCTGAATTATAAAAGCAAAGACAAACGAACCATCAATTAGGGGTAATAAACTGAAATTTATTGTCGCGTTTAACAACATGTCAGCGGTTTTATTAGATTTTTTCAGTGTTTTATAGTGTATAACATTTTCACTCTGAGTTTGTTTACGAAAAATTATGCAGATACTTACTATGATCTGGAATAGCATTTGGGTCTACATAATTTCTTATATTTACGGTAATGGCTTGCTCAATATTGGTTACGTATATTCCCCTTTGATTTGTCATCGGCGAAAAATCTGCTTGTCTTGGTTCGAAAACTTTTCTTATGCCCAACTGCAATCATAAAAAATATAAATGCAGCAAACAGAAATAATGACATGAACATATGTTAATAAGAAACAACATGTTTTAACTTGTCACGATGGAATCGTAACTAAAATAAATAAATCTGATCAATCTAAATGATTTCGGTTTTATGGTGGTAAACTACTGAACTACTGCTTATCGTTATATATAATTTTTTTATTACTATAAATAGTATTCAGGCAAAAAACTAAAACTGTGGGGGAGTGAAGTTTGCTTAAATAATTTACGCTTCCTTTAGACGATCAGCTACTTAGTATGTTTTAATAATATTTCCATAAATGTAAAACTTACCTTTTGAAAACTGGGAGTCAGAGTGACATAACCCTTCAGATTGAAGCTAGGTATCGTGGCAATAACATGCCTGTACTTCAGATTTGCGATGATATATTTTAAGCTTCCATTTAAACGCAAATCGCATATCAGCTTATCGATGCCAGTGTCATCCACTGGTAGTAGCAACAAAAGGTAGTATTTGGTGCTGTCCAAGGGAAAACTTAAAGCCAAAGCGTTCAAATGCGGCTCATAATGAAAGGGAAGTATAGTGTTGTACTTCATAAAATTAATGTTGTATTCCCTGTATTTACCGTAAATAAGAAAACTTGGTTGTTCGTCTGGAACGTAGGGCTCAGGATTATGAAAATTGAACTGATCATCGTAGTACCTTGCTAGTAAGTAGTCGACTACGGATCGACTGTTCCTTTTAAACTCAAAATTTGAATTTCTTATGTTAAGTTGCACCACATTGGTTTGGTTAATTCTAGACGCACCAGATCGTACCTTTCGCTTGGAAATGCCACCGAATCCAACATCATCTACAGAGGCATCAGTACTGTCAATTTCATTATCTTTATTATCCTTTTCAGTGCTGGTGTCAGTTGGAGTAGTATTAACTGTAGTTGAGTCTGTAGCAAAAAGTGTAGTCGTATCAGTAACAACAGGTTGAGTGGTAGTGCTCTCTGTAAAAAGGGTGCTTACAGAATCTTCAATTATAGTTGTGGTTGGCGTGAAAACATCTGTATTAGTAACAGGTTCTGTTGTTGTTGTAGAGGTTAAGTCAGGGATAGTACTGCCAATAGTTGTCTCCGAAGAGAGTGAACTGCTACTCTGCGTTGATGTCAGTAATGTTGTTGGTAAATGAGTGGTATCTAAAAAAGTAAAGTTTGTGAAAATATGACTATGAAGAACTTACGAATGCTTGTACCTGCTTCCGTTGATTCCACAGTGCTTGAACTCGTTGGTAATTCAGAAGAAGGTAAAACCTCCGGTATATTTGCCACCTCAGTTGTAGAAGTTCCTTCCGTAGTACTAATTGATAGTGTAATATCTCTTTCAGAAGTACTGTCTTGTGTGGTTGTCAACAAACTAGTTACAGAACTTGGAGTTGTACTTCCTTCAGTTATTGGAGTGGTCACTTTTTCAGTAGTGGGCTCAATTGCGATTGTAGTTACTTGTACAGTTGTTACCTCTGTTGTTTTTGCTTCAGTAGTTAGTGGTAGTGCAGTAGTTGTACTTTGTTCAATTGATAATGTTGTTTCCTCTATAGTCCTTATAGTAGTTGTCTCTGGCAGTGTTGTAGCTTTCTCAGTAGATACTACTAATGTCGTCGTTTCTGAAGGTACCGTAGATGCTGTAATGGCTTTTGTTGTCATCTCCATAACATCGTTTCTTCCTATTTCTGTTGTGACCTGTGATTCAGTCGTGACCTGTGATTCTATCGTGGTGATTTCTCCAGTCGTTGTCTCTGGTACCTCTGATGTTTCTGGTTGAGGATACAAGGCGTTATTGAATGTAGCAGTATCATATCCGTAAAACCTTAAAATGTCTTCATATTCTGGTCTTAGTGTAACATTTTCGTGATTCAAAGTCAGACCAGCTAGGAAGCCTTCTTTTGGTATGAAGTAGCTCTAAAATTAAGATCAGATCAATACATATCAGAATAACTTAGTTATCACTAAATCAATTGAATCGGTGAATATAATGTCTTTGTTTCATTTGTAGATAATATACAAGTATATTCATGAAGGTACCTCTAATAAGTGCATTGTATCATATATGATACGCCCAAGACACAATGCCATGAATTTAAATGAAGCAGAGTTGACTGTAGTCATCACCATGAAGGTCACATTTATACGAGTACTATTAGTGCATCGCACACTAGTAAAACTTACATTTCCGTGCAAAAATGAGGTTGATCTATATGAAACATAGAAATATATTTCTATCTATATTTTAATGCCTGCGGATGAATTAATTTTGTTTAGTAAAAAGGAAGGTATAATATAGTATAGGGCGATTAATATATCTTTATATTAACATATTCCGTTTTTAATATGAACTAATGTAGAACTATAATACCAAAGAAAACATCACATTTCAAATCACAAAAGAATGAATATAACTATTTTCATAATACGTATAAGTATTTAGTTAAAAAATTGTAGTTACTTAATCTTCCTTTAAGGAATACAGCATATTTAAGCCCGCTATTGATCTTATAAGTTGTATTACCAAATGGATTACATTCAGTTCCTTTTGATATTAATTAAGGGCAATCGTACAAAGATTGTATTTTCATTTACATCGATGTTTTATAAAAATAAAGCTGTATGTCTTGCCCCAAATGCAATTCCAATAGGTGGGTATAATTCATTTAAAAATTCTATGATACAATAGGCCATTTAATTATTACTTTCTGGTAGAGTACCCCATTAACCATCCTTTAAGTTATCAAGGAGACCCATTATTGTGTTACATTGTTAAAGAAATGATTCACTTGAAAAATTAACAATGTTTCACACTTTGTTTTACAAAAATTGTCGGGTAATATTTAATCTCTTTTCCTCTACCAACATTTTAATTAATTTTTATAGCATCATCAGTTGCACACAAATTTTGTGAATTTGGTAAAATAATGATTAACATTGTGTAAATAACATTTAATTTTAAAAGAAAACGCATATCTTGAAAACAACTAGGTATATTATATATTAAATTATTTTTTAATACTTTTTGCAAACGTTAAAATTTTATTCCAATATTTAGTTATTTGGTATTGTCCCAGTACTCTAAAGAAAAGGAGATCTAGGTACGAGGACTGTTCAGAAAATAACCGAACTTTATTTTTATAAACTTTATTATTGATTTTATACATTATTGGTTCTTGCCTCCTTCAAAGTACTCCCCTCCCCTAATCACACACTTTTCCCAGCGGTGTTTCTATTTCCTGAAGCACTCGTGGATAATTCATTTGAAATGGCCTTTAAAGTCTGTGTACTTCCAGTACTGATTTTAATTTTGAAAATAAAAAAAATAAATAGCAAAGAGCCAGCTCTGGTGAGTAAGAAGGAAGAGAGAGGACAGCAATCTGATTTTTGGGACAAAACTGACGAATTGACAAAGCTGAGTGTGCGGGAGCATTGTCGTGGTACAAGAATTGTATTTGTTTTAAAACGCCTTGATAGTGCACATTTTACCGTTTCACCTTTAAAATGCACAATTCCATTAAAGTTGAAAAAAAAAACAGTGAACACTTTGACATTGGATGGAGACTGACGTATTTTCTTGGGGAGTGGAGACGCTATGCATATCCATTGTGATTCAGTGTCGTCTCCCGTTATGATTTTTTGAATGAATGTTTCATCGTCATTGGATTGTTCAAGGAGTTGCTGACAAAAGTGCACACGATTTTCTTTTTGTTGCTCGGTCATCAAACGAGGAACAGATTTTGCTCGGATCATCTTCAATTGACTGACGACCACTTTTAAATCGTGAAAACCATTCGTAACATTGCGTACGATCCAGAGTATCGTCTCCGTAAGCTTGTTTTAAAAGTTGAAACGTTTCCGTGAAAGTTTTCTCCAGTTTCACGCAAAATTTTCCGTTGCATCGCAAAAATTTGCACATTTCAAAAATCGTCTCTAACGCTTAAATACGTTACACTCAAAAAATATCACGAAGGCTAAATGAGATATCAACAATCCAAGAATATGTAGTTTCAGAGGCGGGAATGCGTAACGCAATGCTGCCAACCATCTATAACTAAATATCTCCATTAGCGCGTAATTAAAAACGTTCTGTTATTTTCTGTACAGAACCCGTATATCAGTCGAACATAGTAATATTTGTTGTTATTGTTTTTAATAAAAACATACTCATGCAACAATGAAGGGTGCCTGTAGGTACGTGTAAATACAATGAATGGAAAACATATACGAAATTGCTTCGTTTGGACGCAAGAGGGCCTCAATATTGCAGAAAATGTTTTGAATTATTTAAATAACTAGAAACACAATAGATTTTGATTATTTTGGGGTGTGAGTTGACACATTTTGGTATTATACAGAGTAGTTTTTAAAACATATAGCTGCTAGAAAATTAATGTGGTGTAAAAATATCCGTCCACAATTTTTTTCAGTTCACACAACCATAACAAATATTTTATATTTTATAGTTGGCAGCTGACACCATTTGGAAGTTTTTTTTGTCGCTTGTATAATTTTTATGAAATGAGATATAAAAAAATACATATAAGGCATATTAGAGTTATTTAAAAAATTATAACATGTTTCAGGAACTGTAGGACAAATGAAGCGATTTCGGATATAGTGAATCAGCCTCAATCGGCCTATTTTGAGTTCAGGAATCTTCCATCGTACACGTACTTACGGGAGACCTTGTAGATGTAATACCTTCAAATGCCTGTGAATATCCCTCAGACCTACACGAATGACGGAAATATCGTTTGGTATGTGGGTGGCTTGTTGAATTTCGTAAACAGAGTCTCCTTCAAGTCCTTCTCCAAGCGCTATAATAACGCTAACTGCCCCATAAGGCGATATGGCTATATTATTTTCGTTGTATTCATTATGTATCTGAAAAAAAATATTATAGTCAATTTCTAAACAGGGTGTACCATTGAAAACTTTGCACCCGGCTTATTTTGAACTACGTTCCAAAATATTAAAATTGCCGCGACACGTCCATTTTGTTTTCGAGGGGGACACATTTTAGCGTTAAATACAGACTCGCCAGAACAAACCCCTTCGCGGGGGCGCATTCAACTTTAGAATCTTATATGGCACTCTAGGTCGAGTGACACCTCATTCCAAAGTGTTTTTAATTATGGCTGTCATCATGTAATTTTTTTCGATTTTAGTTCATCTGTTGTTGAAAAAAAAAATAATTATGCTTAGAAATAAAAAACAATTTTGTTTTGTATTAATCATTTAATTAATTGTTCAAAATGCCAAAGGGAAAACTATAAAAAGTTTCAATTTATTTTCACTGGAAAAACTGTTTATAAATAAAAGGCATTTTGAATAATGAAAAAAAATTGGTCATAATCATTTAATTAATTGTTCAAAATGTCCGCATCCCACTTCCATGCAATAATAAAAACGTTAAGAATTTCGGGGGTAATTAAGTGGCATTCTTCAATGATACGCCGCCTGAGTTCTTCTAGAGACTGCTGCTGAGTGGTATAAATTTTAGACTTTAAATGTCCCCATAAAAAGAAATCGAGTGGTGTCAGATCAGGTGATCTGGGTGGCCACTAAATGGGTCCGCGGCGACCTATCGATTGATTTGGAAAATTTTCATTTAAAAACTGTCGAACTGCAACTGTAAAATGTGGAGGTGCGCCATCTTGTTGCAACCAAACATTGTCTTCTAAAATTGTCATCATTTTCCATAGTTTCAACAATCATTGGATAAATGTAGTTACTCAAAAGCTCAAGGTACATATCCCCATTAAGATTTCCTGGCAGAAAATATGGTACAATAATCTTATTTCTGAGCCCTTTCTGCCCACACATTAAGTTTTTCAGAATGTTGAGTGTGTTCCTCTCTAAATAATGTCGGATTGGTGTTACTCCAATAACGGCAGTTATGATGATTAACCAAGTCATTCAGATAAAAAGATATTGAATATAAAACATTTTGATCGTTTGCCATTTGCTAAAATGTGTCCCCCTCGAAAACAAAATGGACGTGTCGCGGCAATTTTAATATTTTGGAACGTAGTTCAAAATAAGCCGGGTGCAAAGTTTTCAGTGGTACGCCCTGTATAATTTCCGACACGAGCTAGAAGCGATAAAAATAAACACAAATATTCCGTTCCTTGGCGTCCCTCTTATCACGTACGGGCGTATAATCCAAGAAATGGATATACACATACGCCTCTACGTGATAATAGGGACGTTAGAATTATATCCTGCACCCACTAGTACTCATGAGTTTACCATTTTTCAATTTCACTTTTTGTAGGTACATAAAGAGAAAAAAGCTAGAAGCTTTAAGAAATTCTGATGATCGATGTCGATAATACCAGAAATTCAAATTTAAATATAATTTAAAAAATATAAAAAACTGTAAGGTTTATAAAATTTATTTTTTTTTATTGATCTATGAAAGTTACAAGAAATTTAATAGCATCAATTATTATTATTGTACAATTTTTTGTAATATAACCAACTTTGTATCTCTTATTATCTTTCTCAAGCTCTAATGCGAGCACCTTTAAGTAAATTAGAAGTACTTTATTTTTTTAAATAAAACACCTGATATTTGTGTAAGTTTTTGGACTCCTCTATTTTTTCTGATTATAGAATTCGAGGAAGACCCCTGCGCCACTTTCTTGGAATTAACCGCATTCGACACCCGAGGTAGGAAGAAATTTCAAGGTACGCCCCTGCCACGGTAAAGTTTCAATAACAGAACTTTATTGGCTTATTATTTTCTTGAAATTCTATCTCAACAAATATCGTACGGATTCATATAATATATATATTTACTTTGAAAGTTTATACGGTATTTGAATTATTTAAATATTTATTGCATTGTAATTATAAACAGTTACATTATATCAACGCCGATTCATTAAAAAAATCCAGTATTTAAACATTGTTTATATTTCGCAAAAGGCCCATATTTACGCAATTTACTCTTAGTTGACTAAAAAACTAAATGTATGAATCTTCTGCGTTTATTTCGACAAGTTCATCGTTGTCATACAGTTAGAGAAGGTACGAATACGATGAATTTGAAGTAAACTTAAAATTTACAACCATCAGTGAAAAAAATATCAGTGATAGATAGAAAAAGGAACCAATGTATCTGTTCTAGGCAGATCTTAAAATCCGACGTTTTATAAAACTTCTCGGTGTTTTTACAAGGATTCTCAAATCTTCAACATAGTATTTTTATATTACATTTATTCATGTGTTCATGTGAAATTTGTATGGCATTTCTAAATAGTCATACAGTCAGTGGCGGCTATTGACTTCCATACCTGGGAGGGCGGAATGGGTACAAAGTATTGAAAAAAAAATCAATCAGTTTTATTTTATGTACTATTTAAATTTAGGGTAAATCAATTTAAACTTTTACAGTTTTTGAAAAAACACAAGAAACAATGTGCAAGTAATTAAATTTTACACCATACCTAAACAAATTACGTTTATTACGAAAAAAAGCGGTGAATAGCTATTATTTGGTTACGGTCGTCGGACTAAATAGAGCCCGAATTGCACAGTAACTATACGCTACTCTCACTCCATCTTTCAGTGCTGGGCGACAGTAACCATGACCGCCGCTGTAAACACTTTACAGAGGTAGAGGCGAAGTACAAGGAAGTAATGTATTCAGTGTTTTGCAAACGAATTTTGCAAGTCGAGTTAAGCCGCCACATACAGTATATAGTTTGACACACTATTGTGCCTTGAAGGGAAAAAACTATTAGCAAATTTATGAGACAATTCTTTAAAAAATTTCCTTCGTATCCTCAAAGTCTCAAAGATGTTACTACTTTCTTAATTTTATGTACATGGTTTTTAATTTTTAACAAAATTTAAAAGCATCCCAGTTTTTTAAATATCCAAGGAAGGGTATTGTAAAAACTCGAGACTTCTAGACTAAAATTTTACTGATTTTTTTTGTTCCGTTATTGGATTATAAATGTAATATATTTGGAGTTACTTTAAATTACGAAATAGGTATGAGAACACCAGAAATGGTATTGTTTTCTGAATGTTTCTACTGAGTGTTTGAATTTTGGGAAACAGCCAAAATCCTATACTGAGGAAGATATCTTTTAGCCAAAAGTAATTGCTGCATTATAGGTTTCAGAAAGGTTAGGCTGCTGTAATATTAAAAATATTTTGCTAAAGGAGTCAATTAGTGGTTATTAGTGGTTACTGTTTGTTTATTGTTGCGAATCCATCTTCTTATTACGGTAACTATTATACAATTTTTAATTTTAACTTTTTAAATATAAACAAAAATTATAAGCCAAAGTTTATCTTTATCTTTATCTTTATCTTTATCTTTATCTTTATCTTTATCTTTATCTTTATCTTTATCTTTATCTTTATCTTTATCTTTATCTTTATCGTTATCTTTATCTTTATCTTTATCTTTATCTTTATCTTTATCTTTATCTTTATCTTTATCTTTTACATAAGGTGTGCAACACACAGCTAACGCTTTGTTGGTTATTATTATATTACTGACATAATATAATACGTTATTTGTATGAAGGACGGACAAGGCATCCTTCTTGTTGCAAAGTTGGACACAACATAGTACCTCGCGCGTTTGTATGTCAACTATGATTACTAAGCGCTAAAAAAGGTAAATTATTTTTAATCATTAACAGATAAGCCTGAACTAAAGTTAAATACCTGTTGCAATAAGTTATCTAGTAATCTTTAATCGAAGAAATGTTACAAATGTTTACAATTACAATTTAAAGTAGTAAAATCGTGTTACAAAATAATTTTGAATAAGCTTTGCATATGATATTGTAACACTAATAAAAGAAATAGCTGTTATAATACAGATTATCCTGACAAATCTTTCTTATAGGCCAATTTCCCTCAGTGTAAGGTTATAATATCAAGTACGACTTCACAATTCAGAAAACTCAACAATACGTCCATAATTCAGTCACAGTATTCGAAAATGCAAAAATTGCATATGAAATATGAAAACCTTGATGTCCCGATTTGAATTCAATGGATTTAATTAATTATTATCACTTATTAATCACTTTCTGGATTAATTATGAGAATCACAGTCATATGAAATGAAGTACCGTTTTTTTTAAACAATTTCTTAACAATGTATCTTATACTCTATATTTAAAAAAATCTGTATACTTTGCTTGTGGGTCACCTTTATGTCGTTCAAAAAATTGAATAACCTGTAAATAAAAGTTAAAAAATCAAGTACATATTTAAGAGTTTTGGGCGAGTGGGAATTTTTTTTGAAGAACGTTTTTTCGCAAATAAAAAAGTTTTTTTTATTTTATAATTCACGCGACATAGCGATAGGTATCACGCCAGTGTGAACGTGAACCATACATTTTCGTGTGTTTTACAGCTATTAAAAAATATTCAAATATGCGCAGCGGTCTCAACGGTTCAATGGGTAGTTTATTAGGTGCAACTAAACCTAATAACGCAAACAAAGCCATTTGTTCTACATACAGAGTTAGTGTATAACTAAGTGTCTGATGTTTATTGGACGCTGAGCCGTGCTTACCGGAATCAAAATTTGGATCGTGTCCGAATCCTCTATTATTATAAAATTATGGCGAATAGTGTGAAATCGGATGATCACTTTCCCCCGTGGTAGGTATCTGGCTAATTTTACCGTTATCAAAAATTGCAGATTGGATATAAACCATCATTATTATAGTATTCATAACTAATTGGTAGATATTTTCACTCTGAATATACATCTATAGGATTTAAAAAAACGGATAATTGTCGATTTTTACAGATAACTTTATATCATAAAAAGATGCAGGAACTATAAAATGCGTCTTGTTTGCACTATTTAGATTAAACTTTTGAAACGGTATAATCATTTA